TTTAACCAAGCCTCCCCACCCCATTAATCCCGACTTTTTAGAGACATTGTTCAAACCGGAACCAAACATAATTTAAAAAAATTTTTTTTATTTATTGATAGAAAGAGAAAGGAGGTGGGGGGTGAGGAATGCGTACCTAAGCAGGGTAGAGGCAGAGAGAGACGAAGAGAGAGTCTCAAGCAGGCTCCACGCAGTCAGCGCAGAGCCCGATGGGGGGCTCAAACTCACAAAACACGAGACCATGACCTGAGCTGAAATCAAGAGTCAGATGCTCAACGGACTGAGCCACCCAAGTGCCCCTCAAAACATAATTTTAACTGTATTTTTAAAAATAAATCTTTTTGACCAGAAGAGACTGACACTATAAAGTAACACAGGTGGGAATCCTAGAACTTGCTTGGCTGCCTCAATAACCCCAAAGAAAACATTTATTTTAGCCAAACAATTGTAATGTTTGTCTCCTTTTAGAAACATCTGCTGCCAAAATAAACATTTGCATTGGAAGAAGTGTTTTGGCTGTTAAGATGGTACCAAATAAAATGCTTATGTTCTGAAATAAATATTTTACTCAAAAAACACACAGCAAAATAGACACCCAAGGACTGCAGAAGATAAACTGAAGACACAAATGAGAATACCTATGGATTTCTAACACCTTTGTCAAAAGAAACTCAATTTTAATTAGGTTTTTATTTAGATTTAAAGTGATAAGATCAGATGGATCACTAATCTCTATTTAATTTTGCCAGAATATCTTTCAAAACAATTCCATGTTCTTACTGTTGTAAAGGTTTTCGCAACACAGATGTGTTTTTAAAACTAAAAAAGTTGTCATTTTCCATTATAAAAGCGCTCATAAACATAAATCTCTCACTTTGCTCTCTTTCCCTTTTCCTGGTTTTATAATGCCAATCGGCATTAGATTATACAAACTTCTGCAACAAGATAAAGAGAGTTAAAATATCAACCCACTAACCTTTGATAACTCAGGAAACATCTCAGACTACATGCCGTAATTGAAATGTGCTTGACGTAAATAAATATACCCGCACTTCTGTGGCCTATTTTTCCTGGGTGCTATTTCTTTTATATGAAAATCTTTTTTAAACCAAGTTGGCACAGACCTATGTATACATTTATGATCACAAAGGACAAGAGAAGTAAAACAAAACATTTGCTCACCCACATCCCTGATCCGGCAAAGGGTACCTTGGTATCTAAGTTTTTTACAATATCTGAAAAACTCAGCATCAGATTCTAGTAACCTTAAAGATTATACTTCCTCTGCGTTAGATGAAATCAACCGGTATACTTCTGTTAACCATCTCCAGGTTTGAATTCCAGGAGCCTAGAGGCAGAACATTCTCCACAGAGGCATAGAAAATGCATTTCCCCTCTCAGCTCAATAAAAACTCAAACAGACTAGTTTTTAGGGCACTGTGCAAAACTAATCTGTTTAGCTATGTATTTGCCTGATGATGTGGGAGAATCAGCACGTGAAAGACCACAAATGTAGTTCCAGTTAATAAATACCAAAATGATGTACTATTATCATATCATGCTCAAAGACCTCGTCGTGAGTATATTTCAAAAATAAAATTCTCACCATACAAATCAAGAATCAGCAGGTTAACACTAAAATCAAACACTCAGTGGCCAGTACCTCCTTAATCTCAGAAACAAAAAGCAAGCACTGATACCACCCATGTTCAGTTTCATACAAGCATGGCCGTTCTTTCTAACAGAATTCTCATTTAAAATTCCTATCACAGGAGTGGAATGCTAGCCAGGAATCACACTGTGACCCCTGAGCCAAAGACAACTTACCACTCAGCTGGTAAGTGGGCAACTCAATTTACAAACTTGAATTCCTGCATTTTAATCCTTTGCAGAAATATACGAGCAATATTAAATGAACTGGATTCAGCTCATTAGAGGTTCACAAACCAAACACAGAAAGCTTTGGAGGCTCTCCAAAGCAAAGTCATGCCTAGGTGGTGATGTCCACTCAATAAAAACTCAATGCCATCATTATCTTTCAACTTTTTCCCTGAAAAACATGAGCAGCCATGACTACAAAAACGCTGAGCCAATTACATTAATACTAGGAGAAAACAGCACCAGCAGCCAATCACTGTGCCAGGACCTTGTCCATGGACAAATTGTCATTATCCAAAATTCACAAACAATGCAACTCAATGAGAATTCCTCACCAAAGAACACAGGCTAAACCTAACAAAATAAATGTGCTCTAATAACCTTTAGACAATACCTTAACTATTTTTTTCCCCTTCAAAGCTATTAATTAGCCTACACCTGATCGCTTGAACTTGGTATTAAAAAGCTGTGTCTCCTTGAAAATGTTACACACATTCAAAAATACATTCATAGCTATTTTTAGCCTTCCAGTTATCAAAACAAGATACTATATTTCAAGGCTATATTATCACTAAACGAAAGGGTGAAAAAACAGTACAGATTTCTTAGAACCTTTGATGATGATGAACTCAATATGGAAGTTTGACATTCTACAGTCAGGGCAGTCAGTTTCCTACCAGATACACTACTTTCCTTTCATTATCAGGAAGATCTGTCCTTAATCAGAATTAGATGTTTCTTCTGGTCTGCAGTAAAAATACCTAATCTAAAATCTTAATTAAAAATTTGCTGAAATACTCGGTGAGTTATCTTCATCAACTTGTCCCTTCAAATAAATCCAAGAGTTCCTGTATTTCAACAAATCTAGGTAAAAGCCACGGGGATTTAAAAAACCCCAAAAAGCTGACAAAAGTAAAGTTACTCTATGTATTAGCATATGTCCTCTACTTGTAGCCTTACACGTGGGGTTAGAAAATAATGAAAAAAAAAAAATCGTAGGTAATCGTTCTTTACACACCCTTTCCATTTGTTGGGATTTCCACTTTGGGACTGCAAACCGTGCCAATGTCGAAAGCCTGTGATAAGACTTGAACTCATTCAGAGAAAAAGATAAAGGAGCATCCAGGAGCTTGCCATGAACACCGCCTTTCGAAATGACTTTCCAATCTGACATGAGGAAAACACGGTAGAAAGAAGAGCCTGGGTGGCTCAGTTGGTTAAGGTCTGGTCATGATCCCATGGTTCGTGAGTTCAAGCCCCACATCGGGCTTTGTGCTGATGTGCAGAGCCTGCTTGGGATTCTCCCTCTCTCTCTCTCTGCCCCTCCCCAACTTGCACTCTCTCAGAGAGAATAAATAAATTTAATTTTTTTAAAAAAAAAGAGAGAATGCAGAAAAACAAGGAGTGGTTAGTATCCACTTCTTCCCGCCAGGTCGGTCACTTCTTCCCTTCTTCCTCTACTCTTGCCCGTGGCCAGAGTTTTCCTACAGAACTATCAGCCCCCACGTGAAGTCATTGACGAAGGAGAATTAGGATTTTTGGCAGCTAGCTGCCTGGGCCTTCTTGCCTTCAACTAAAGGCAAATTAGGTTAAAATTCGAAGAAGGAAGAGAAAATCACATCTTACTTTTCAATCATGTACAAATTATTTCCCCCTTACCATTAGCAACCTCAGCTAAAGATGTTTTACTCTAGGCAGCAAAATATTGCTGGAAGAAAGAAGTCATGTTGAAAAAAATTAACAGAGCAATTAAGTGTGCAAGTGACGGAGAGAATTCCGGGCAGCCAATTTAATAAAGGACAGTACGAACTAGTGACAGTAACAAAGGCTGTTTGAGGAACCAACAGCTGGGACTCAAAGGCTGAGCTACTTCTAAGCTGCCCTCTAACCACTGTAAAATAAAAATATCACTGAAGGAGGGGCAAAGATGAAAAGGAAAAACAATATTCAGTCTATAAAGGAAAAGGCTCACATGCAACTTAACGGATACAGCTCTGGAGCACGTAAAAGTGTATCGTTCTCCACATCCACTTTACAGAGAGAAGTCTGAGCCAATTTTTTTCCCCCACAGATCATTTTTGGTTAAACACAGGGAAGGATCTGCAGAGAGGAAGTGTATGAAACCCTGGAAGAGGCTACTGGCAACACTGTGGAGTCACCTACCTGGAGGCGGTAAAATGCACACGGGTTCACCCAATGCACCCCCCCCCATCCCCGATTAAAGACACGGTGTGGGAATTCAGTAAAACGCACATGGATCCTCCTAATGCACCCCCCCCCACCCCAACACCCCCCCCCCCATTAAAGACACGGTATGGGAATTTATAAATAAGGCTCTCTGGGGTTTCTAGTAATTAAACACCCTAACGAGTCTGAATTTAGTCTTTTTCTAATATCATGCTTCCTCAGGCCAACATTACAAGGACACACTCTCAGTATCCAAGAGACTATAGGTTTACTACTGCTGGAAAGTAGATGGGTATTTAAGGTAACTCCAACTATTTGATTCTAGAGAAAAATACTGAGTCGATAAAAGGAAGGAAGTCTTTTTTGTTTTAAGCAAAAACACAAAACCCATCAAAGGCTAAGAAAACAGATATATACCAAATCCTCTTATATGAAATTCATATGTTATTGAATAAATGCAAAATAACTTTTTGGGAGAATCCAAAACTTTTCTCAAAGATGATGCCATTTTCATGGTTATTTATTCTTTAAGTTAAAATGTCACCTTTAAAAATCTATTCACAGTTCAGAATCTGCCAGTCTGCCATCAGAAATGTTAGAAAGCCAAGTTCACGACAGGGGGTAGATCTATATAATTTGCTGCAAAATGATGACACTGCCTATCTTTCCAATACAGCCAGTAACACAGTAACAGCCCTCTACCAAACAGATGTTCTGTCCACTTTGTTCTAAGCAGCTCACTTTTCCTTCTTGAAAAGAAAAAAAAAAAGGAAACTGCACCCATGATTACTTGAAGAAACGATGATAATTAAAAGAGAGCAGAAAATCAGTGAAATGCCCCCTAACTCTCTCAGTACCAATCTTAGGTAGTCGGTAAAAGACAAAGACAAGAGGATCACCCATTCGAGAGGGGTGGGGTAAAAACCAGCACAAACCTGCTGCTGTGGGTACTGCATTCCTCCCATGGCCCCTGGGGTCCGACCCTGGATGCTGATTGGATAGCGCTGTGGCCCTGGGGGACCGTAGGAGCCTCCGGGGTAAGGGCTGCTCTGCTGAGGCTGAGAATGAGGGTTACTGCCCATCCCGTATAACTGCGGCCTCTTCATCACCATAGGATCCATTGGGCTGCCCTGTGAAGAAAGAAACAGACACAGATTTAAGTCATGATTTATTACAAAGGCAGAAACTGTGTTACACTCACATATATGTTAAAAACACAACTATCCTTACTTTTGAAAATATTAAAAACATACAATACACACAAGTATCATATCATTATGTTGTATGTAACACCTGAGATGAATATGCTGTAGGTCAATTATTGCATTAAAAAAAAGTAATAATAACCTGGCAAATAAAAACCCAGAAGAACATTTAAGAAAAATACCTAGATAGCTACAAGACATTTTTTTTTTTTTTTTTTTTTACTTTTAGGGAGATTTTAACAATTAAGAGGGATCCGGTGTAAACCAGAGAAGGAAAGAGTCTGCAGAAAGAAAACATTTGTATCTAAAATCCTGCTATACATATAGGAATGAGCATGATCAATTAATCTCACCCAACTCCTGTTAGCTTTAAGTATAGTGAGTGGTTCGCAAGGCTTTCTGACTTCAAAGTATTCTTAGAACAACGACTTTGTTTTGGACCTGAGTCTGGAACTCCTGATCAAACATTAATGCATCTGAGTGCTCATGAGAAAGTGAAAGGGTAGATTTTAGATAATACAGAATGTCTAGGGTAAAAAGTTTCAAAGACTACTAGTGTGCATGAATAGGCTCCCAGACTATGAGTCACAAGCCACCTTCCCTATGTCAGTATCTTAACCAAACATAACTAGTTCAAAACTAGACTCTAAGTTTTATTTTTGGTTTAGTGAGTCAGCCCATGAGCCTCAGGGCCAAGGCCATTCAGCAGAGCCAGAACTAGAGCCTCAGCTGGGGCTCTCTTGCCCTGGGTGCTTCAAAGGAGCAATGCAGTGGTGGGGGAAGTCCCTCCCCAAGGGGCTAAAAAGGCCTGCAGCATTCATCCAACGATCCTTCTCGCCTGCCGCCGGCCTGCCTGCCTGCCTGCCTGCCTGCCTGCCTGCCTTCCTTCCTTCCTTCCTTCCTTCCTTCCTTCCTTCCTTCCTTCCAAAACCATATATTGATTCCTACTGCATGCCAGACTCTGTAATATATATGAAAACTCTCCAGAAGGCTCAAAGATTAGCAGAATAAATGAATGAAGAAGTGCCAGGCTCAAGGTGGGGAGGGACAGGGCGTAGAGTGCCATAAGGCAGAAGCCGCAGCAGAAACCACAGGCTCAACGGAGCCGAGCTTCCTGGTGTGGACAAGGAAACATAAGCAGTTCAGATCCAGATGAAGCAGGAATTTGCAAAGAAGCTGAAGCAGGCGGAAGCCAGTATGAGGGTGAGCCTTACAAGTCAGCTTCGGACTGCATCCAGGGGATGAACCACCGGGTGCTTTCAACAGAGAGAATGATAATCGGATCCAGCTTTCGGAAGGACTGAAGGACTGGTCTCAGGCAACTGGCTGGAACCAGGGTGGGCTGCCGCAGCGGGCGGGCGAGCTGAGGTCCTAAACTGGTAGCTAGCAGTGGTGGGAGAAAGCGAGCCCGGATTCCAGTGACGGGATGGGGATGCGGCACCACTTGGAGACTGAGTGAGTGACGGGAGAAGACAGGAGTCCAGGGTGGCTTAATAGATGATAAGACACCAACTGAGATGGAACGTGCGGAGGCACAGGCAGATCAACCGTCTCCCCCATGCCAGAGGGAGCCTTCAGTATGCTATGTATGAAATCTGAGCTTCCTACAGGAAATCCAGTGGAAAACATCCAGAAGGAAGGGACACAATACATTTGTAGCTTGGGGAGTAAGGGCTGAGCTACAATAACAAATGGGAGAAAGTCAGCATATAGAGGATATATGCTCCTGGAAAGGTGGTGATTTTTCTGTTTTACTCACCACTGTATCTCCAGGATGTAAGTCAAACAGTACACCTGGCACACAGCAAAATGTTCAGTGACTACTGGATGAGTTGATCAACAGGAAGCATATAAAACCTCAAGAACTTTATCTAGGAAGAGCAGATGAACAAAAGAACAATGCATAGAGGACAAAACTCTAGAGAATATCACCATTTAAGGGAAAGAAGGAGCCCACAAAGAAGCCAAAAGAACAGTCGGAAAACACAGGCTCTAGAGTATGGTGTCATGGAAAAGAAGGGAGTCGTGCCTCGAAACACGACAGGCATGCCAAATGCAGCCCAGGTGTCCAACAGGTGAGGGCAAAACCCTGCTCTGTACCCGACGACTCGAAGGTAACTGCCGAGTCTGGCCAGGGCAGCCTCATCACAGAGGTGAGGGCAGTAACCAAAAGACAAGGAACTAAGCCAGGAATGGGAGGTGAGAGAGGTGAGCCGGGAGCACAGACCCAAAACCCAAGCTGGGGAAGCTCCGTGACAGCCGGTCTTCCCTCCCACCCGCACCCCAGTCCAAGGCCGCAAGCAATCTTTCCCCTCCTTCCTGCACGTCTGCTGTGTGCAGCGGGCCAGGCCCCGGAGAAAATGCACACGCATCAGGAGCTGTCCTGGGGAAATGAGCGATCCACTGAAGCAGACGGGCTGAATAGAGACTGCAATGCCCCCAGTGGACACCCTAAGTGGACCGTGCAGCGGATCCTCAGCGGGTCTGTGATGGGCTGTCACAGAGCCTTCCTGTAGGGAAGCTCAGGTCTGAGGGATTCGTAGGAATCTGCCAGGAACTGATCTCGCCTGAACGAAAACGTGGGGAGGCCAAACAGTTCGGCTCGAAATTCACAATTTTATGGGCTTGTAAATGTGTTACTCTCACCCGTCAAGGAAATTTTGTACTTATGTGCTGACTTCACAATTCAACACACAAACATGTATGTTGACACACTGTAACAAAACTAAAATCGAGTATTGAGAATTAAGTTTTCCCAGAATTATATAAATTAAAATGGGTGCCTAAAAAAAGCAAAATGTAATTCTTTCCCACACTTTCTTTGAAAAGATAAAATAAAACTTTCTATGGAAGTGTGAAAATCAAGGCTGAGCTGGTGATTTCAGAATCTGCACAGCGAATGAATGGCCAACAGAGAGGCTGAGTAAATCAGATTTCAGGCTAAATTTCTAATACGGGGCCCTGAGGCAGCCCTATCTCCACATTCAATCTGGATTAGCCAGGGCAGAGGAAAGGTCTACTTATTTCACTTAAAATAGTGCACGACCCAAACTGGCTTAATTAAAGCAGAAATTTAAAATGGAAAAATGATTGGAATGTCTATATTTTAATGCTACAGATAACAGTGCAGGAAATTCATCTTATCAGTGACTAAAACTGTTTCGTAATATCTATCTCATCACTGCCATAAACTCTCACAGTCCTGCTTAAAATTCAGTTAATTTGCACCCATGTCAAAAATGTTAGCTTAACCCTGAGATTCCTGAAAATCTAAAGCATGAAATACACACATTATCTGTACCTCTCAAAATGCATCTAATACCTTTCAGTGAGACTTCAGATATGAAAACAGATACTTATACAGTGCAAATTATTTAATTTTAACCTTCTCGCCTTATGGCCTTGTGTTAAGTACACATCCACACCCCAAATTCATCCTGCTGTGTATTCTTGCTATTTTTAACATTAAATAAATAACGGGATATTTCAACCCCTGCTTTTTACTACTATCTCCTTAAAGAAACCAAAGACCAAATCAAATCTAAGTCTTTTCCAAAAAAACATAAAGGCCAGGTCACTTCTCATATTCAGTTCTAACCCAAAACAATTTTACATTTTTATCATCTACACTTGAGATGATCTATTCCTGAGTATCAGTATTTTCATTTCTCATATAAGACATCTGCTGTATCAGAGACATCGTCCACATTTAAAAAGTCCTCAAATACTTTTCTAAATATGTTACTCCAAACGGGTTTTCCCTCTCCAGATACCATTCCACAACTGCTGGTTCCTGAACTTCGATTCTGTAAATTAAGACAAGAGCTTTGAAGCCTATGGTAAGTACTGCCCACTTTCAAAGAGCTCAACACAACTAGTGTAGGTTTGGTAACTCAACATCTCATGCAATTGTGTTTCTTGATAAGACTTTCTCATAACCCCTCCTTTGTTCAAATAAGTTTTTGTAAATATACGTATGTATGAGTTATTTACCATACATGCACGCACGTGCACACACTCTCCTAAATCTTCTGGGAAGCCGTCACAACTACCTACACCCTCCAAAATTCTCAGAAGGTTCTCCATTCCTAGGACGACTACACAAGAGTACAGTGTATATTTTTTAAATATATAGTTGATATAAATTCTAGACAATCCAGGTGGCACGGTTAGGCTGTATTCTAGGTTACAGAGGTTTGCAGAGGCCGGCCTGAGAATCCAACTACCCTTTTAAAGATTACCCAAGTTAAAGAACAACTCACTTCTATACCTTTGGGATACTTTAGATACACTTGGTGATTTTACTCTTACTCCTTCATTACCCCCTTCCAGAGTACTCTACATATGTACTTACAATAAAGATATCTATGTAATTTGTTTACTACTGGATATCCAGTTAAGGAGATGGTTTATTAGTAGTTTCTTTCTGAATATAATATTTCACAAACTGAAGAAAGGCACTGCAAAACCCACCGAAAGAACTATCCGCATTTTTTTGATCTACAATTGTATCTATGTATCTGTATTAAGCAACAGCTTAGAGAAAGAAACTCTTCCCGTTTCAACCATTACTTGGAAAAATGTTCTAAATTACCAGCAATTTAAGAAAACTTCGAAGTAACATTCCATTACCTATAAAATGAAACCCAATTGGAGTAAATGAGTGTTTGTACTGGTAGGTTTCGTACCCACTAACAGGTTTCTTACCACTACTCTGAGAGATCATATGACAATAAGCTTTAACCAAAAGCTTTCAACACTGTGTCTTGCTCCAACTCTAATACTCTCTCTCAAGTGGGGCGGGGTGCTACTTATCCAAATCCGTCCCAGAGACAAGATTCCTCATACTGACGGGACACAGCACGGTCCAGGGAAGAGAGGGTGGGCTTAGCTGCCGAGCAGACCCTCACCCTTATCGCCCCCCC